CTGCCAGCACTGCAAAGGACATGAGCACTTTGGAAATTTTCAGGTCTGGAGTCAGTGCATTGGATGCAGAATAGGATTGACAAGACAATGGATTGTTGCTTTGTCTCACGCATGTTACCCACAGTCCATCCCAACGGCTTATCCATTGTCCATCGAGCCGCCTCCCATAGCCATCGCTTTCTACTAAAATAGACACTCTCCAATGGGGTATCCAGCAGACAAAAAATGTGAGAATCATGGCTATGCCACCCAATATCATGCCAATGGACTGGACTATGCAAGGAATCATGATGGCTCTAGGCTTGGGTCTTTTCTAAGATCAGAAATAATCTGTCAGAAGGAGAAGTACACCTGTTCAATTTGATTGTTCAGAGTCAAAAATTTGATGACCGTTGTCTCTTGATCTGTTCAGTATCCTTGTTTTGAATGGCTTCTCTTGGAGTGTCCAGTGTCTCCTTTTAGTGTCTTCTCTTTGGATACTTAATGTCTCTTCTTTGGATGTTCACTGTCCTGTCTTTGGACTGAGTATGTAGATTGGTAGTTCAGCTTCCTCTCTTGACTGTTCAGTGTCCACTCCTTGGATGCTCAGTGTCTTCCCTTTGAATCTCCAATGTGCTCTCCTTGAGTGTTCCCAGGTTTACTTCATGCTCAGGTCTCAGTTTCAGCAGGTTCTGGAAAACAGTGCCCTACTAGTCAATTTATTATTGCTCTGGCACGTGTATGAAGTATGTTCTGTTACATAACTTGTTAGGTGTGGCATAAGCAAGACGTCCAGTCTAAGCACAACTCAGTCATCAAACTCAGCACATAGACACCTGAGGCTATGAAAACCCGTCTCTCTCAGTAAAGGGAAATGAGATGCCTAAAGGATGTCTAAGGAGAAGCTGTGGATCATTTATTTACTATGCTGTGTGTACAGTATGTACATTATGTACAGCTCTGAAAAATTAGCAGTAAGCATGTGAGTATCTAAATGTTTTAACTAGCAATTAAGCTGTTTTAGCCAAGATTTTGAAAACATAAAGGAAACTATACACATGGACTTCTTATGTACAAACAGACAATCTCTCAGGTGACTCCAGTTTAACAGTATAAGAATTGTTAATTTAGAGAGTGAAATATTGCAAAATATACTGATACTTCAAATGTCACCATCCTATAAAATATATATTGGAAAATTTGGGACCTTAAATGGGGCGCTAAATATTATAATTAACATAAAATTAATACACAGTGTTATAAATTCATGAATCAATGAATATAAATTATATATAAATATACCAAGTGTAAAATTCATATATACTCACTGGCCACTTTTTTAGGTACACCCATTCAATTGCTTGGTAACACAAATTGCAAATCAACCAATCACATGACACCAACTCAATGCATTTAAGCTTCTAGACGTGGTGAAGACGACTTGCTGAAGTTCAAAGCAAGCATCAGAATCGGGAAGAAAGGGGATTTAAGTGACTTTGAATGTGGCATGGTTGTTGGTGCCAGATGGGCTGGTCTGAGTATTTCAAAAACTGCTGATCTACTGGGATTTTCATGTACAACCATCTCTAGGGTTTACAGAGAATGGTCCAGAAAAAGAGAAAATATCCAGTGAGTGGCAGTTGTGTGGATGAAAATGCCTTTTTGATGTCAGAGGTCATAGGAGAATGGGCAGACTGGTTGGAGATGATGGAAAGGCAACAGTAACTTGAATGGTATGCAGAGTAACGTCTCTGAATGCACAACACATCCAGCCTTGAAGCAGATAGGCTACAGCAGCAGAAGACCACACCGGGTGCCACTCCTATTAGCTAAGAACAGGACAGGGAGGCTACAATTTATACAGGCTCACAAAAATTGGACATAGAAGATTGGAAAAACAATGACAATGGAGAAGAGATGGCTGGATCAAAACATTGACTGGTGGATTTATGAGTCTCCATTTTCCAGTTTTCAGCAAGTCGCCTTCACCATGTCTACATGCCTAAATGCATAGAGTTGCTGCCAAGTGATTGGCTGATTAGCAGTTTGGGTTACCAAGCAATTGAATAGGTGTACCGAACGAAGTGGCCAGTGAGTGTAAATACACCCCAAACAGAATGCACTAATTGAATAAAAATACTAAATGTGAAATTAATATAACTTATTCCCAAATACAGCACATCAGTCCTAAACCGGTTTCAATGTGAATAAAGTGCAAACAGTGTCCAGTCATGGGACATGACTCTATGGCTACCAGAAGTGGTGTTCTGCTCTGACTGAGGGTGAGCTATCAATATCTCAGGCAGATGCTCCCGATTTATACACACAACTGATGGCCGCTGTCATTTGGGGCTGATTTAATGAGCTGGATTGATGTACACTGTTTATTCTTTATTCTTGTAAGTAGTTTTCTATCTTTTTAATAAACATGCATGTTTTTATGGGAGTACACTATTGGAGTTTTATCTTTTCTATATCCTATTTGGGGTATCAATTGTACTGAAGAAATTTGAAGTATGGTGCTCGAGATGTATTGAGCTGCCTGGGTCATCATTACATAGAGCGCAGTATGCCGATCTGTTACAAGAGAGGCATAACTTTTTGGTGCGTTTCTGCCTGTTGGGAGAGGTGGAGCACTGAAGCTCTGGTGTGCATTTTGGAAGATTTGTTTGATTTCATGTCTCTAGACATGAAAAGACTTTCAGATTCAACTTTTACCATTTTGAATTATTTCACTCACAGTGGTACTGGGTGTATCTGAGTATATGTTGGACTATAATATAAGATACTTTATGGTGGATTATCACAGTGCTACATTTTTTTGAAGACCAGTATCCAGTCATGTGCAAAGTCAGCTATTATAGTGCAGACCAAAGCTGGGACATTCAAATAGTGGAAGACTCACCTTTTAGTATTAATTATTTCATTTAATAGGATTGTCAAACATGGCAAATTTTACCACACTCCTCTAATTCCGCTGGGGCTCCACTCCTGATGAAGTCAGTTGGACTAAACACGTAAGGTGGAGCCAGAACTCTGTGATGTCATCAAACATGCTGGGGCCATTCACACACACATTACCGGGAAGTGGAGTGGTACTCACACAGGAGTACACAACATTACCTCCTTAGTTCTGGGTGATAGCACATGAGGATATAAGTGTATTGTATTATGTATTTTAATTGGTCTTTTAATACAAAGAGTGTTGCACAATGAACCTTTATGCTTCCTTCTCTTCCATAATAGATTCTATGATGGAGTGTTGTATGCAATGGGAATACCAGTCAGTATATTTTCCTGTAAAGTCCCAATGGAATTGGAGGAGTAAAATAGAATCTGCCTTGCTTGACCCCCTTTTTAATTTAAGTAGTCAACAACATAAGGTGAGGCTATCACCATTTGGGCCGTTATGAGAGTACAGAGATCTTTCTAATGAATAGAAGTGGGATATCCCACCTTTGGCTTGAACTGTGGATAATGGAGTTTGCACATTATTGGACACTGTTTGCACTTTAGTTATTTGCACTGGAGCACAGTTTAGGTCATATGTAATGTATCTGGGGATCATTTATGTGAATTTCACATCTGGTATTTTTATATACTGTAAATAATGCATTGTGCTTGGGGCATATTTAAATACATTTTACACTTGGTGTATTTACATATAATTTATATTATATTATATTTATATTAATTTTTTTTTATTTATAGCAATGTTTATTAGTTTAAATATCTTATATCTGTTTAATATTTATACAGCTGCTGCTTTGGAGTTTTTTTGGTGATTATTTTAGAAAATGGAGAACATCTGTGTTTTCCTAAAAACTAGCAAAAAAAATGCTAAATTGTATTAATACTCCAAAATAAAAACCAGACATGGTTGCTCATAAAACAAATATTCATTATTCACAATTCATGACAGAATAATATTTGACCATTACATTTTCTCATATAAACCGGAGACCCAAATCAATATTAACAGATTCTTGTTGATGCATTTCATGACTGGTCCCACTTATTCAGGACTGCTTTAAAGTTGTAGGTATCTGAGATGTCAGAACGTTAATCTAAAACAAATAAATGAAGCAATATGAATAACTCACTAAATTCAAAGTTAAGAGCACCCACAAATCCAACAATTCAACAGATCTGTGATAACAGACCCAATTTTAAAATATATAATTAGAGCATATAAGAAAAAGTTCCCTGGTGAGCCTGTGAGGAGAGCACATATGAGAAATGACAAAATCAACAGATATTGTATACCAAAAATGAAGGGGAAAACCCCTATCAAAGACACTTTATACACTAAAAAAGTTCTTGGCCCAAAGGGTATGGTACCAGTCAGTAGGACATGTGGTCTGTCCATTCTGGGACAATGAGAAGAGTTGGGTGTGGCTTCACTCACCTCCCCCTTAAACCCTCCCTTCCTCCACAAGGTCCACTCTGATTGTTGGGTATACCCTGCCATCTGCCCAAAAAAAGTGTGTTCCTCCATGGACCACATGTTTGAACAGCAGCGTGATGACGTAACTCTGATGTCACTGTATTTTTGGATGCTCTTTACCTTCTATTTATGCATTTATTTATATGGCTGCCTATATTTGATTTAGATGGATGTTCAGACTATTGTTTAACATGTATGATACATACAACTTTAAACCTGGTCTCAAAAAAGTGGAGCCAGCAGTGAAATGCGTTGACATGGTTCTCTCAATACTTTGGATCTTTGATGTACATGTACATGAGATATCATAATGTAATGTCGAATACTAATTTGTCATGTATACCAAAGTGGTTTTATCAGCAATTCATGCCTGGTTTTTATCTGACGCATTAATAAAATGTTTTATTTTTTTAATTTTGAGTGTATAATCTTTCATGCCACACGTAAAGTCCCTACCTTTCTACTATATATTCCAGTTTATCACTTTTCAGAGCATGTTAAGATACACAAAAAGTTTAGGGACACACCTCCAAATCATTGGATTCAGGTGTTCCAATCACTTCCATGGCCACAGGTATATAAAATCAAGCACCTAGGCATGCAGACTGCTTCTGCAAACATTTGTGAAAGAATGGGTCGCTCTCAGGAGCTCAGAGAATTCAAGCGTGGTACAATGATAAGTTGCCACCTGTGCAATAAGTCCATCTGTGACATTTGCTTGCTACTAAATATTCCACGGTCAACTGTTAGTGGTATTATAACAAAGTGGAAGCAACTGGGAACAGCAACTCTAAAACAACAAAGTGGTAGGCAATGCAAAATTACAGAGGGGGGTCAGCGCATGCTGAAGCGCACAGTGCTTAGATGTCGCCAACTGTCTGCAGAGTCAATAGCTAAAGGCCTCCAAACTTCATGTGGCCTTCAGGTTAGCACAACCACAGTGCAGAGAGCTTCATGGAATGGGTTTCCACGGCTGAGCAGCTGCATCCAAGCCAAGCTTACATCGCCAAGTGCAATGCAATAGAGTGGAGATGTGTTCTCTGCAATGACAAATCACTCTTCTCTGTCTGGCAAACACACATCTGTGTTTGGTGGTTGCCAGCACAACGGTACTTGCCTGACTGTATTGTGCTAAGTGTAAAGTTTGGTGGAGGGGGGATTATGGTGTGGGGTTGTTTTTCAGGGGTTGGGCTTGGCCCCTTAGTTTCAGTGAAGGGAATTATGGAATAAGACTGGGATGCCATTAAAGTTCATGTGCGTGTAAAGGCGGGCCTCCCATAACTTTTGGCAATATAGTGTGTATATATATATATATATATATATATATATATAAGTGCTCAGCATAAATGAGTACACCCCTTTTTAAAATTGATTTTTATTCAATATCTCAACAACACAAGTACAATTTCCAAAATTTTTTGTTTGTTTTTTTTTTTGTTTAGCTCATTACATGAAAGTAAGGTTAATAATATAACTTAGATTACAAAATGTTCAGTTTTATTCAAATTAGTTGATGCAAAAAATGAATACACCCCACAACAAAAACTACTCCATCTAGTATTTTGTATGACTTCCATGATTTGTAAGGACAGTACCAAGTTTTCTAGGCATGGAATGAACAAGTTGGTGACATATTGCAGCATCTATCTTTTTCCATTCTTCAACAATGGCCTCTTTTAGAGCCTGGATGCTGGATGGAGAGTGATGCTCAACTTGTCTCTTTAGAATTCTCTATAGGTGTTCGATTTGGTTCAGATCAGGAGACATACTTGACCACTGAATCAATTTCACCCTGTTCTTCTTCAGAAATGCAACAGTGGCCGTAGATGTGTGTTTTGGATCATAGACATTTTGGAAAAGTGCATGATGACCAAGTGCATGGAGTGATGGTAGCATCTTCTCTTTCAATATAGAACAGTACATCTGTGAATTCATGATACCATCAATGAAATGCAGCTCCCCAACACCAGCAGCACTTATAGAGCCCCACAGAAGGACACTGCCACCACCATGTTTCACTGTAGGCACCATGCATTTTTCTTTGTACTCCTCACCTTTGTGGTGCCATACAGTTTTAAAGCCATCAGTTCCAAAAACATCTATCTTGGTCTCATCACTCCAGAGTACAGAGTCCTTGTAGTCTTCTTCTTTTTCAGCATGGGCCCTGGCAAATTCTAGGTGGGTGTTTTTGTCCGTGGGCTTTAGGAGAGGCTTCCTTCGTGGATGACACCCATGCATGCCATTCCTCTGCAGTGTAAGCAGTATTGTGTAACCGGAAACAGTCAGCCCGCTTTGGCTTTCTACTTCTTTAGCTAACTGCAGTGCACTTGCATGGCAATTTTCTTCAACCATTCTCAGCAGAAGACTCTCCTATCGAGGTGTTAACTTCTGTGGGTAGCCTGGACGTCTCTGTGAGATGGTTGCAGTTCCATTTTTGTTAAATTTTGGTATCACTTTTGCTACAGTATTCTGACTGATAAGTAAATGTTTGCTGATCTTCTTTTAGCCTTCACCTTTCTTGTGTAAAGAAATTATTTTAAGTTTCTCTGCCTTGCTACCTTACTTTCTCTCTTCTGAAATTCCCACAATTTTTCTTGGTGACTTCAACATTCCCGTTAACCTTAAAGCGGTGTTCTACTCAAAGCGGAAGTTCCGCTTATTTGCCTCCTCCCCCCCTCCACTGCCATATTTGGCACCTTTGGGGGGGAGGGGGGAGCTCATACCTGTTTTTGTCAGGTACCCGCTCCCAATTCTGGCTCAGTTCGCTGTGGCAAAGTGAGCTGAAAGTTTGGGCCCCTCCTCCCTCCTACAGTCACCTGGGAACTTTCACAGGTCCCAGGAGACTGCTGGACCAATTAGGAAGCACAGTGCGACTTACTAAAAGCTAAAATTAACGGTCACTATTCCATACTATTACACTTGGACCTGCCTTTGACACAGTTGACCACCCTCTCCTCCTCAAAAACCTCTATTTACTTGGCCTCTGTGACTGTACTCTCAGTTGGTTCGAATCTTATCTATCTCACTGCACCGTCAGTGTCACTTACAACTACTACTTCCTCCTCCCCTACTACTCTTAATGTCAGGGACCCCCAAGATTCTGTCCTTAGATCTATGCTATTCTTGATCTACACTTATTCCCTAGGTCAGCTAATCCATGGTTTACAATACCATTTCTATGCTGATGACACACACATCTATCTCTCTACTCCTCAGCTTACCCCATTAGTTTCCTCACATATCACTGATTTACTAACAGACATATCAGACTGGATGTCACACCACTTCATAAAACTCAATCTATCCAAAACTGAGCTCATAATATTTCCTCCTCCGTGTGTCTCTTCCCCTGATTTCTCTGTCAACCCATCACCGCATGCCAAGGTGCTAGGGGTAACCCTGGATTCTGAACTATCCTTTCAGGCCCACATCCAATCCCTGTCCAAATCATGCCGCCTCAACCTCCACAACATCTCCAGAATACGCCCATTTTTAACCAATAATACCACCAACTTCTAATTCGCCCCCTGGTTATCTCACGCCTCGACTACTGCAACTCCCTCCTCATTGGCTTACCTTTACATAGGCTATCCCACTTTAGTCCATTGTGAATGCTGCTGCCAGGCTCATCCACCTTACCAACTGTTCAGTGTCTACTACACCTCTCTGCCAATCCCTCCACTGACTTCCACTCACCCAACCAAAACAATTCAAAATACTAACAACCTACAAAGCCATCCACAACTCTGCCCCCAGCTATATCACCAACCTGGTCTCAAATAACCAACCAAACCACTATCTTCGATCCTCCCAAGACCTTCTTCTCTCTAGTTCCCATGTCACCTTCTCCCATGCTTGCCACCAGGATTTCTCCTGAGCTTCTCCCATCCTACCGCAATCTGTCCGACTGTCTCCTAATCTATCCACCTTTAGACGATCCCTGAAAACCCTTTTCTTTAAAGACACCTATCCTGCTTCTAATTAGTAAACTGCTTTTTACTTACTCCATCAGCTCATCCCCCACAGCTATTATCTTTTGTAGCACTCAATCCTTCCTCTTAGATTGTAAACTCTAATGAACAGGGCCTTCTGTTTCCTCTTGTACCAAATTGTATTGTAACTGTAATGTCACCTTCATTTTGTAAAGTGCTGCGCAAACTATTGGCGCTATATAAATCCTGTATATAATAATAATAATAAAAAAGATGATGTGACCAATGAAGATGGTGGTGAAGGACCTGGCATGCGGTGGCTTTGGGCAGAACAAAGCTAAAGTTGCTGGGCGGGTGTAGAACAAAACGTTACACTCACTTTCCCTGCTGTCTAGTAGATGGACCCATTGATGAGCTAAGATGCATTTCACGTGATAAAAGTTAATTGAACAGCAGGAAGATTGAATGTGGCTTTTCATGTGACTTCAGGGGAGAGCAATTGAGATTGGTAAAGCCCAGTTATTTTTTTCCTGTTCCCCCATCAGGTGTAAAAAAATAAATAGCCTAAGCTGCAAAACTCATCTTCAACCTGAACACTTGCTGCAGGTTATTGATATAAATCCTGTATAATAATAAATATATATATATATATATATATATATATATATATATATAAAGTGTTACTAAACCGGGACCCTGCATCCACTATATCTGGTCTCCCACAGTACACAGAACATGGAAGCGCAATTGTTTTAGTAAATATAAACTGCTAAATACCTTTTCTCGTCAGAAGTTAGAGCAGTCTTGTGGTTTCTATCAGTGTCCAGCCCAGAACTAGCTAAAGCTTGTAGGAGGACTTTTATTTCTGCTCTAGGAGTATGCAAAACCCCTGACCTCTGTCTGACCAGTGCTGATTGGCCCTATGCTGACCACATGCATTATCCCAAGAAAAAAAAATATCGCTAGCAATACACACCAAACTGAGCATGTACAAATGCCTACGGTTCAGTCTGTCTTATCAGGAGATAAGAGGTGGTCACTTGAAAAAGGAGAGGAATAAAGAAGAAAGGATCAAACGGCCTTTTTACACAATGCAGAAATCTGATAAATTGCTTTTGTTCAATAAATAGGCAGAACAAAACAGTGTAAGGTTCCCTTCATGCTACCAGCAGTGTTTACTGCCCCACCTTGAAAAGCAATTTGTTGTGGATCACTTTTCAGAGAAGGTTTGCAGGCAATCAGGATGTGATACTGCCACCTCCTGATGCCTATTTTAAAGTGTTACTAAACCCAGGACCCTGCATTCATTATATCAGTCTCCAACAGTACATAGGACATGGAAATGTAATTATTTTAGTAAATATAAACTGCTAAATACCTTTTTCTCATCAGCAGTTAGAGCAGTCTTGTGACTTCAGCTGAGCACTGGTTAAAGCTTGTAGGAGGAGTTTTCTTTCTGCTCTAGGAGGATGAGGACAGTACTGATTGGCCCTGTGCTGATCGCATGCACTCTTCCAAGGAAAAAAAAGAACCTCTCTAGCAATACATACTAAACTGAGCATGTTCAGAAGGGCTATGGGTTCAGTCTGTCTTATTAGCATGGAAATTTGAACAAGAGGAGGGGCAGAGAAGTCAGGATCAAACAGCCTTTTTACACAATGCAGAGGATTAACCCCTTAGGTTCCACAATGAGTATAACAAGCATGCTTTACTGCATATACGGGCTGATTTTACTGTTGTGGGTTTAGTAACACTTTAATTGTTTGTGTGTGTGTTTGTGTGTGTATAGCCAGGTGCTTGTCTAGAGAGAGAAAGTTATTAGGGACATTGTGCTGCAGTTGCTCTCTGTGTCCCCCATCAGACTATCATGCAATTAAGTAAACCTGTCCACCTCCAGCCAGAAGGGGGGACTACAAGTATAAAGAACTCAAGAGACTCTAATGTAGGCAGTACTGGACTG